CTGGGGAAAAGGTGGCTCAGGGGAGTCCTTATTGTTCTCTACAACTACCTGAAAGGAGGCTGTAGCGAGGTGGGTGTTGGTCTCTTCTTCCAGGTAACAAGCGACAGGACAAGAGAAAATTGCCTCAAGTTGCACCAGGGGAGGTTTAGGTTGGATATTAGGAAAAATTTCTTCCCTGAAAGGGTTGTCAGGCATTGGACCAGGCTGCCCAGGGGAGTGGTTGAGTCACCATCCCTGGAGGTGTTTAAAAGATGTGTAGGTGTGGTGCTTAGGGACATGGTTTAGTGGTGCACTTGGCAGTGCTAGACTTGATCTTAAAGGTCTTTTCCAACCTAAAGGATTCTATGATTCTATGATATATTAAGTATACATAATAATAGTTAATGCTTATTCAGTGTTTTCTTTTCCTAGATTCCAAGGCAGCTCACAAGACTTGTTACAGTTTTGGCCCTAGTTTATAGACAAGAGGATGAAGTCGCTGGATGTGAAGTGGCTGGTTCAAGGTCCTAAAGTGAACCAGTGGCAAAACTGGAAAGAGTTCAAGTCTGATGCCTTTTTCTCATGGATATACCACTATATAATTTTTTTTATTTGTAGCTTTTTTATAAATTATCATCATTTGTTGATGGTGGTATAAGTAACCAGTGAAACGTTGCAGATTGCTTGTATCGTTGAGGCAGTTTTGCCTTGCTTTTCCTTGAAGCTAGGCTTTTGTGTGTTGAAAATGTCGGTAAATGGGTGAAGTCTGCATTTCTACCTCTTTACACAAAATGTACATAAGATTTGCAGTGAAACTTCCTGGCTTCCTGTGAAAGAATACCTATCTTTGACCATAGCTTCCTAGTACTGATAGGTCCTTAAGCTGTTTTTCACTATACTTGGCCAGGCTATATGTGGAAGAACAGAAAGTGATTACAGCTCCTAAGATATAGTTACCAGCAGTCAGATCAACAAAGGGGTTAAAAGTGAGACAGCCCTATCTTTTACTTCAGTGGAAGTGTAGTTGTTGATTTAAAGCTCTCAGTAAATGATTGTTGGAGATCTGCCATGTGTAGCAGAGCATTCAGAAAGCATACCACAGACTCTGCTTCCTCCTAAAGAGCATTTGTCTGTCAACATCTCACTTTAATTCTAGTCTTTTAAGGTACCAGAAGGCAGGCAAAACTCACCAGCCAGCAGTCATGGAAGATCAGGTCTTTACCAATGTTTATCAAAATGTTAACACCACCAATATCTATGGGATTCCAGACTCTGAGGACAAAGGGGATAATCTTTATGATCATGTCCATGAAGATCCAGCATCTCCTTCAATCACTACTATCCCAGAGAACATGGATAGTAGTCAAGAGAGCTCAGAAAGTAGCTGTAGTAATTCTGTGGCCTCTCAGCATGGGGCTGATGGGGAGGATGGTGGTTCTTCATCTCACCATGGTGCTGAAGAAGACCACCCGTACCAGGAGATGGATCTGATGAGCCCAACTCTAGAAGATAAACATGTAGAGGGCATGATGTTTGAGAGCAACGTGCATTTTCCTCCGGATTTCCAGTTGCGTCGGAGCCAGAGCACTTCTTCCAACTCTTCAACTTCCCTCAAGTTCCCCCTTAACAATAACTTTGGAGAAACTGACAACTTTCAGGAAGATCATGAGATTTTCATGTTTGTAAAGGTAAGAGCTTGGGTGCTTCTAAGAATACAGTAGTTTTAAACCCCAAATCAATCTATGTGTCCTCCAAATCAGTAAAATACAGCTACCTGCCGCTTTATTCCCAGCTCTGCTGCCTGTGTGCTGCAGGGGGGCAAGCCATTCACTTACCTCTTACATCTTAAGGCGTAGAAAGAGATGATTTGTGTTGTGTGGAGGTGCCTGGGATTTCTTCATTTCAAGTGGAAGCATGAGTATGGTGAAAGTATTCTGATTGTTGCTGCAATTCATTTATTCTGTGGTATCTCCCTGCTGTTACAGCTGGACTATTACTACTTGAACTGGTTTAGTTAAGCTAGTTCAGCTATCCCTGTGTTTCACTATCTATCTAGTAGCTGATAGCTCAAAACTGATAGTTATTAATGCTACAGAGAAAACTAAATATATAGTTTAAATAATGGCAATAAAATTTCCACAAATACTCATCCCTGAAAGAGGTCTTTCTTTTATTTCTTTCAATATTTAGATAATGTATTTCTGTGATAATTTTAACATGTATTTTTCATTAATTTCAAGTTAGGTTTAAATTACTGAAGGGACTTTCACACTTTCTCTAACCTTGTAAAGTATTACTTAAATTTCTAAACCATAAACACCTGTGTTCTTAAATAAGCACTATATTTCCCTTCATAAAAACTCTTGTATTCAACCTTTCTCTGTATTTATTAGGCCGTAACACAGACCTGACAGTTCCTCCTTTTTAACTACATAAGAGAGAAATTTTCAAGTTCTTGTTGTCCTTGAATGGTACCATACACTGTGAGTGTAAATCTCTATTATTTCATCAGAAGTCTTGTAAAGTTTGTCACTTTTCAACATAAATAAGATTGCCAGAGTCTGTTCCTCAGTTCCGCAGGTGCTTTGAAAACAGGATAAGAGATTTTGTTATCACACATAGTGAGTAACACTATGTGAGTAACACTATGTGAGAAACGTTTTCAGCAATGTCTGTATTTCATTAATTTAGTTTATTTAAGCAAGAGCACACTATAACCTTTGTATTGGTGTGAGATGCTGATTATTTTGTATGAGCTAGGGGAGAGAATGGCTTGGCGGACTCTCCTAATACTTTGTTTGGTTTCTGTTATAAATCTTGGATTTCTTGGAAAACTGAGTTAGTTAAAAAGTTATCCTACATTTACTTGTAGGGTAAAGGAGATTGCTTCCATAAAGTGTCAACAGAATTTTGAGATTCTTTTAAATACATTAAGAAAGTTAGGGTTTAAATATTTTTCCTTTGTGTCATGTCTTCCTGTAGACGAAAACTTGATGTTATTCCCCCTTCATGTCTCCCTTCTCTATGTGACAATCCTTTGTGATTGCTTTTCTAATTTTTGCATAAAGATACATAATTTAAATTGTTGAGAAATTAAAAAAACAATCAAACCAGAAATGGCTATCAGGTTACTTAGTCTTATTCTGCATAAGACAAACCATAAACCATCGGCCATTTCTCTTGAATTTCAATATAACTGCAGCTACTCTTCTAAAAAGGTGTGTATCCTTCAGGAGAGGGAGTATCTACGAATTGCTGCGTCGGGAATCGTTCTGGGTCCATGCGTACTGCCACAAAGGGGTTTTGCTACTGATTTCTGTAGAAGTGGGCTATGAGAGCCATGTGTGAGGGCACTTGGCCTTTTCGTTATCTTCATAGTACTTAACACTGTATGAGTCTTTGGAGCGGCAGCTGCCCTATTTCTGTGACTGGATCATGGTTGTTGCTAAAAATACATTAATTATATGGGCAAAGTAATATCTATGGTGGTGTTTCTAGTTCGTATCTCTGCTTGTAGTCCTGCATACATGTACCAAAAGTTGCAGCAATTGAGTATATTTTGTCTGTTAGTAAGTTCATGGTGTTAGCAATGTGAATGTCGTATTTTGACTTTGAAGTAATCTCTCTTTGTTCCTTATTCTTTCACCTTGGTCTTGTTTCAAGATAGTGGTGTCCTCTCTTTCCATGCACGAAAGAAGAAAATGCGTGCGGGTGCTCCCATTCAAGCAGGGATGACGGGGATAACTTGAATTTCTGAAAAGTGAGAAGAGGGGCATTTTGAAAAGAGCTATCACGGAGAAGGACTGAGGAAGTCCTTTTCCTTGATTTTGTTGTGCAGCATAGGTGAGTATCCCATCAAGGGGGCTTATCAGCTAGTCTAGAGAAGCACAAACTTTGGACTCGATTCACTTGCCTAAACATAAGTGCCTAGGACCATCTGAGATGTCCTTGAGCCCCAAGACATCCCTACCTGGCTGGAAGATGAGACATGCGGCTTTCAGGTGATCCATACTGTGATCCTCCTCCAGCAGGAGCTGGAGGCCCAGTGGACAGGTCACTGGATATTTCTGGGTGGGTGGCTGAACTGAACTCCTATGACAGCGTTTTATTCCTTGAGAAACTGATGACATTTCTTTTTTGGATTTTTGCTTTTCTTTCTTTCTGGTGTTGAGGTAATAAAGCACTAACTCCATGGAGCGCAGAGCCAGCTTCTCTCTCTTTAATTATCCAGATAGCAAAAGTCAGCCTATAAAATGGAAGGTCATAGAGTAATACCTAGCAAGAATTGTGAAATACCTGAGGGCTATCACTTCTTGCACGTAGGAACCAAATCTCTCAGTTGTGTCAATGGCCATTATTCATAGATGGCTCCTTCCTGGTATGGTCTCTAGTCCACCTGAGGCCAGTGTTGCTCCAAAATTGGGTTCATCTTCTGGATTTGCTCTTTTCTGCAAACATTAACAGCGACAGCAGGACCTTTTGCTGTGGGACAATAGTGGTAATGACAATTCTGCCACTATTTACTCCTTCCTTTGTTTGTAGCACTAACAAATCTCTGTGAGTGGCTGGAAATACGAGTGTCAGGCAGAGGTTGCTGCTGACTGAAAACCAGAGAAAGTGGGAAGATTAAATGGTATCTAACTTACACTCTAGCTGGCTTAGTTGCAGTGCACTGCCTAGAATAGAAATTTAACTTCATCAGAATATTGGAAGTGCTGTTGCATTAGGACCATAGTTTCAGTCAGACTGGATAATCTTTTCTGTAGTCCGTTCTGTGGTATTAGACACCAAGAAATCGCATTCACTCATCTTCCACTGAATCTTAGTACTTGGTAACTACATCCTCGTCAGTGGACTATTTCAGGATGTGCCATAAGGTAAAAAATTTTGGCTTTCTTCAAGGAATTCCCTGTACCTTTAATAGCAGAATATAGCACGTAGCAACATGGTGATGTTTGCGTGAATCCAGCATGTCCAGGCTTGTCACGGTCACCTTAATGCCCTTTCAATAACATTGTAGTTTCTTCAAACAAAAGCCTTTGACATTTGAACAGAAATATGGCTGACATACAGGCTACGTTACTGGGTGCATCGGTCAGCTTGACCTATTTGTAGCTGCTGCTCAGAGGTCCAACCTTTTCACTTGTATGCTGTATTTCCCTGTTTAGCAGCGTGTTTGTCGTGAAGGTTGAGCTTCTTTGAAAATTTTAACTTTTTGTTTTCCTGAAGCTTGAGTTGTTATTTAAGGAATAGTCCCTCTATTTTCTTTTCAGAAGAAAATTATTGCCCTTCTGGTTTATTGACAACCTGAGACTGGCTACAGATTATACCCTCTCTGTACACATTTGTGCTATAGGAGCACAGTTCCCAAAAGAAGGAAGGTAATTCTTTACCCTGAGCAATAAACACCTTGTGTTATGCAAACAATACAAATTTAATACAGTGGTTTAGCATCGTGAACATGCACGTTGGATCACTGCAGTGGGGTAACAGAGTTACGGATGCTGGAAGGCACCTCTGGAGATCATCTAGTCCAACCCCTTACTCAGAGCAGGATCATCTAGAGCAGGTTGCTCAGGGCCGTGTCTGGTGAAGTTCTGAATATTTCCAAAGATTGAAGAATCCACAACTTCTCTGTGCAACCATTCCAGTGTCCCACCCTCATGGTAAAAATGTGTTTTCCTATGTTTAAATGGAATTTCGTGTATCTCAATTGGTGCCAGTTGCCTCCTGTCCTTTCACTGGATACCAGTGCTTATATTTAAGAATGCTGTTTTAAGAAAGATACTGCTTTTAACTTCTCTGTACATCAGAACTTAAACTTTTAGCTGTTTCCATTGGGATTATTGCATCCTTTAGTAAAATTTCTTTAAGTCAGTAGCTGGGAAAGAAAGGACATTTCTGTTTTTCCCACAAGATGCTTCCCACTCCCTTCTTTCCAAGTCAGGAAGGTCTGAGGGCTATAACTTGATGGCACAACCCTGTGCTAGCTCCCTACTGACTCACAAAGTTGAGCTGAACTCTTATGAATGACAGACCATGTTCTTAACAGGGACAGTCAGATTAATCGCTTGTATCACTGCAAAAGTCATGCTCCTTCCCATTGAGTTGGCTTTTCTGTTGTTTTATGGAGCATGTTGGTATCTGTTGAGAAAGTTTTGTTTAAGAATATGTATTAATGGTTTAGAACATGAAGTTACAGGACATAGCTAATTTTTAGCATGTATTATTTGAAAAGAGCAGAACCAAATCATAATGTAACCACGCGGATGCCCAGTCTTAAGTTAGTGGTTATGCTGGTGCTTTGCTGAGCAGAACTAAGCATTTTATAGAAGCAGATGAAAAGTAAAAGAGTACCCCACATAGATGAACATTTTTAGCTTTCAGTAGGAAGTCCTGCAGGGGGTTTCGAATAACGGGGTGGATATTGACATTAATGAGAATATCAGTTTTTCAAATTTTCAACCACTTATTTCTTACTACACTCATAGTCTACAGAGTAAAACAACTGTACTTGCAATTTTGGCGTGGTAGATATTTGCAAGCATAATTAGGTGTCCAAATACCTTTTAGCAATGCAAGCCGGGTAGTCTTTTAATTGACTCCAATACAGCACGTAAGGCTGGTGTTAAACCATATCTTCTCCAGGTTTGCAGGTGGTAAAAGGAGTTCTGGCTGAAGCCAGGTG